GTTTGCCATAGGACAGTATTGGACCCCCCGACGGGCGGCGTCCCTGGACCTGTCTCTTATACACATCTAGATGTGTATAAGAGACAGGTCCTGAGGAGGGAGGTGCACGGGTGGAAACCTGGGGGGAAGAGATGGCTGCAGAGGAAGGTTGGGACTGGGGTGAGGACATGTAACCCGTGGAAGAGACAAGCGTGTAGATGATGCCAGCCGAAGAAGGAGAGGAAGTTGGCATAGATGCAGATGAGGGGGGTGGGGAGGGAGGTGCACTGGTACGGGGCTGCAGTTGTGACACGTGGGCCGACAGGGATGAAAAGTCGGTATGGAGGGCCGTGAATTTGGCCTCGAGTCTGGCCTCGAATCTGGCCTGCATGTTCTCGAGGAGAGCCAATAGGCGATCCGATTGGGCGGCTTGACCCAAACTGGTGGCCATAGGGGTGGAAATGTGAGCAGCCATGGGATCGCGAGCTCGTAGCGCAAGCCCTTCACTGATGTAGAGGGAGGGGCTCACCGACTCTGCACTCTGCATGGAGTCAACAGATGAAGAAGATGAAGAGAATGTTGAGGGAGCACCGTGATGAGAGGGACGATCTGTGGTCGTGGTCGGTGCGTCAAGCGAGCGAGTCGATTGGCGGCACGAGCGTCTCGAGCGCGATTTTGGATTGCGCGTTGTTGGATGTCACGGGGAGCCAGGGTGACACGCAGAAGGGGGGGGGAAGGGACTATGAGAGGAAGGTGAGTAGAAATGAGTTCTAACGAACTTCCAAAATTAAATTAAAAAAATTCAAAGTCGGAGTGAGGGGGAAGGAGTGAAAATTTTCAATTCAGGCGACGAAATGAGGGAAGATTTTCAAGGGATGGCGTGGGCTATAGACAAAAGCATGCCTAAGTTAGTCACGAGGTCAAATAAAATTCCGAAATGATTTGGACGTAAATTCAAAATTAAAAAAATATGTAAATAAAATTCACCAAATTCCAAAATTATTCATAAAAATTTCCGCAAGTTCAAGAGGTTGACAGCAGAGATAAAGGTGAGTTCAGAGGAAAAGTTTGAAAGAAAAAGTAAAAAATTGTGGCGTATTTTCGAAATTAAAGGAATTTCAAAGAGAATTTGAAATAAAAATAGGAGACTAATTCCTAAATTAAAAATTACAATGAAATGGCAGAAGCAATTAATGACAGCCAATAAAATAAATCAAGATAAAATTCGATATTATTTAGATCAATTTAAGAAAATTTAGCAACATGTTGCCAATTTAAAAGGAATTTCAAAAGAAGTTCCAAAAAAAAATTAGAAAGAGTTGCAGAATTTCAAAATTTTACCGAGAAGAGGACATAGAAGTCGAGTCGACATCAAAATTTAAATTTAGTAAATTTCGAAATTTATTTCATGAATTTCTGAAATGAAATTAATTTTTTTTGAAATTAAATAACGAAAAGAATCAAGAAAGTAAACAAATTTGCGTAGCTTTTGAACAAAAACGCCGGAATTAATTCCGATCATGGCGTTAGGAGAAAGGGAAATGACGATTAATCCCACCGAATTCGATCAAAATTTTGAACGACAGATTGAACGACATTGTCAAACAAACCCTAAAAGAGAAAATACGCGTCATGCACGTTCGGAATTTTAGATGATGCGACCGATTGGGCGGGGGGTTAGAGGAGAGAAGGGGAGATAGCGAGAAGGTAAAAGAAGAGGAAAAAGATGAGACATTTGAGAGAGATCGGCGAGAGGAAGGGAGGGGATTAGCAAGAGGGGGGTAGATTGACAATACCGCACTCCCGGTTGGCCGGGAGTAATCAAGGTCCTTCCTCCTAGTCGAGGAAGGTCTTCAATCAACCCCTAAAGGGTCTTCTCGATCGTTCCCCCGGTGGAACGATGAGGTCGCCGGATTAAATGTGCGAACTAATGATGACGAGCCAACGCAATGACGACGTCGGCAATGGCGGCACTAACGAGGACGATAATGATGTGGTTGTTGATGATGATGATGATGGCGGCCACGAACCAGTTATCCGTGTGGTAACTTTTCTGACCCTTCTAGCTTGAAGTCCTGAAACGCCAAAGGATCGGTAGGCCACGCTCTCACGGATTGTATTCGTAGTGGAAATCAAGATCGAATGAGCTTTTGTCCTCGTGCGCCAAACGAGATTTATGTTCTCGTTGGGCTCATCGTAGGACCCCTGCGTTACTTTCTACCAGATGTGCCGCTCCAGCCAACATCCCGGCGTGCACGTGCGCGGAGCTGGGGGCCAATCGGGAAGGGGGCATGGGAGG